GTGTCCTCAGCCCAGCTCGCCCCGTCTGCCGCCCCCACGACCACCCTGCCTGGGCCCCTAGCTCCCAGCCCCACCCTGTCCATGCCTGCCCTCCTTTTTCAGGGTGTCTGACCCACGCGGAGGAACAGCAGGGCTGGGGTCAGGCTGAGCTTCGGGGCTGCCACCAGGAGGGGGAAGGTTGGGTGGTCGGAGGCAGGGTTTGCAGCCCGTGATCTTGTGGAGGGGGCGTCAGCCACCTTGGCTGCCCTGAAGGCTGTGATGTGGGGGCGGAGGGGGCTTCTGCAGCCCAGCTGTGGCCCCTCCTTCCGCCATGAAGACACAGGCACCCAGCGAGGCACCCGCCGGACACTCAGAGGCCCCTGGATGGAGGTGTCCCGAAGGCAGCTGATGGGCTGAGGCCTCGGGAACAGGGATTTGTGCCCACCTGGGGTGTCTGGGTTGCCCCAGGGTGGGGATGGGAGGGGAGCCCAGGACAGCCCATCGCCCCACACTCGGGCTGAGCCAGACGCAACAGCCTCTGGACCTGGGCCGAGTTCTCAGGTGGGGTTGGCATGCCGGGGTCTCTGGGAGTGGGGGCCTGGCAGAGGTTTCTGGGCAGCACCAGGTGTCCCTGAGGTGTGTGGCCCCGGGCCCTGGCGTGCTGTGGAGCGGAGGCTGGGGGGCCTGCCGGGTCCCCGCCTGAGCCTGCCCCTCCACAGTTTTTCCTGCTGCTGCTGCTGGTGTTTCTGCTGGAGGCCACCATCGCCATCCTCTTCTTCGCCTACACGGACAAGGTACAGCCGCCTCAGCGCAGGCCCCGAGGCAGGGCTGGGGGCTCCATCCTTACCCCCAGGGGGCGTGGACAGAGTGGCCTGGCATCTGCCCTCGCTAGTGGCCAGGGACAGCGGGTGTGGATTTAGCAGTAGCTACTGGAGACCAGGCCTGGAGGAAGAGCGCCAGCAACCCTGGGCGGCTGTGCTGTGGCTCTGAGGCCACCCGGGCATGAGGGCACCATTCCCCCACCCCGAGGCCGCTCACGGGACACCCCCTGCCCTCTGCCTGCTCCCCCACCCCAAGGCCGCTCACAGGACACCCCCTGCCCTCTGCCTGCTCCCCCACCCGAGGCTGCTGGGGGGTCATCCCCTGCCCGCTCCCCCACCCAAGGCTGCTGGGGGGTCATCCCCTGCCCTCTGAGGCAGCGTCCTGGGCTGTCTGCCCCCAGTGCCCTTCTGTGCCACTAATTTACATATTCGGCCATTTGTTTATACTGAGATGAAGGCGCGGATATTGAGGCTGCACCCTGAGCTAGAACACACCACCACTTTGTTTTGTGAATCACACTGCCCGTCCTCGGCCCTGGGGAGCTCCTGCAGTTGGCTGCTGTGTCCCGATGCACCCCCGTTGACAGACTTTTCATTTTGGGGCACGTCCTGACTTCCTGGCACTGCAGGGCACTCCAGCCTCCTCCTGCATTCCCTGCCCTGGCCCGGGAATCAGCCCCTTTTCCAAGGAGCCCCAGACCTTCACTTAACATTGGGGACCAAGGCCAGGGTGCGAGGTGGGCCTGGTGCTCGTGGCTCCTGGCTTTCAGCTGACAGCATGGCTGTGTGTGACATGTGGAGGCACCTGTGTCCCTGCCCCTGTCCCCCAGGACCCACGGTCCTCCCCCTGCCTGGGGAGGAAGCTCAGGGGTGGGGGCCTTGGGCCTCAGGGCTTCTGAGGACGCGCAGTTTCTTAGGCTGGCAGGGGCGGGAGCCACTTCAGGACGAGGTGCAGGAGAGACCCGGGGCCCAGATTAGGGGTCAGCGAGGGCGTCTGGGTGAGGGGGGTGGGGCACAGTGGGAACAGCCCTGCTGACCCCCCTGCACCCCCAGATTGACAGGTACGCCCAGCGAGACCTGAAGAAAGGCCTGCACCTCTACGGCACGCAGGGCAACGTGGGCCTCACCAATGCCTGGAGCATCATCCAGACTGATGTGAGGCGTGGGCATGTGGGCAGGTGGGCGGGTCAGCGGGCGCCCCCCTCCTGCCTGAGCCCGACCCGAGCTTGCCCCCCAGTTCCGCTGCTGTGGCGTCTCCAACTACACCGACTGGTTCGAGGTGTACAATGCCACACGTGTGCCCGACTCGTGCTGCCTGGAGTTCAGTGAGAGCTGCGGGCTGCATGCGCCCGGCACGTGGTGGAAGGCGGTGAGTGGGACCCCCACAGGGGTTAGCGGGGCCGGCAGCCTGGGACGCCCTGGTGACATGCGGGCACGCCTCCCTGCAGCCCTGCTACGAGACAGTGAAGGTGTGGCTGCAGGAGAACCTGCTGGCTGTGGGTGTCTTCGGGCTGTGCACGGCACTGGTGCAGGTATGGCCCGGGGATTCCCCTTTGTTGAGGTAGCAAAGGCCTTGCCGCCAGGAGCCCATGATCAGGAAGGTGGGGTCTGGGGGGAGGGACAGGTGGAGGCGGGTGCAGGGCAGAAGCGGGCGGCTGTCCATGCTGGTGTCCCAGGACCGGCCAGTGCAGAGGCTCAGGGGAGGGTGCTGTGGCTGAGCCCCAGGGGTTGGGTGGGGCGTGTGAGCCTCGGGAAACTGAGGGGCTCTGCCAGTGTCCCCCACCCCGGGGACCACTCTGGGCTTGAGGCCTCAGCCTGTGGAGCAGCCGCCCAGCACTCCTCTGTCCCCACAGATCCTGGGCCTGACCTTCGCCATGACCATGTACTGCCAGGTGGTCAAGGCAGACACCTACTGTGCGTAGGTCGCCCGACGGACGCCCGCGGGGAGACGGCCGCACCCACAGCTGCCTTTCCCACCACCGGCCTCGGTGCTCTGCCCCATGCTGGGAGGGAGGGGAGGGACAGATGCCCGGAACCTGTTTCCGGAAGGCCCTGGCTTGGGTGGCTTCAGGGCTTCTGGACCCCCCGGGAGGGGATGGCCACAGACTGGCTGCAGAACCCAGGGCAGGGGCTGGAGGGGCTTCCAGCAGTTTTTTTATCTATTATTCTCCAGAGCGGCGTCCACACGGGAGCCAGCCTGTGGCCCCTGGCCTCCCGGGACACGGGGTGGGGCTGGAGGGGCCAGGTCTCGGCATCCTGGAGGTGGCCCCGCTGGTCCTGGTGCTCTAGGCTGGGCCGCGGCCCCTCACCTACATTCCACAGTGGCCATGGGCTCCTGGTGCATCTCTTAATAAAGTGTGAGCAGCCCCCTGTGCCTGTTGCTGGTCCACCTCCCCCCACCCCATCTTCCCCTTTGGCACCCAGGCCTGGGCAGAGCAGCCTCTGGCATGAATGGTGCTTGGGCAGAGCCTTGTGGCTGTGGGCATCCCCATGCAGATTGTGATGAGGACACCAGCCTCAGGGATGACAATCAGGTTGGGGCATCTGACCCCCAAACTGTACCCCCCAATCTCAATTTCCAGTTCATGCCTGCCCCACCCTCTGCCCACCCCCCTGGGGACACCCAGCCGGCTCCAGGCTTCCCATCCTGTGTGGCACCCACACTGACCTGGCAGTGCCCAGACCCAGGCCCCACCACCCTCCTAGACCTGCACGTCCCCCGCCCTCACTCCAGCAGAAGCCATGGGACCCCAGAGAACCCACCCGAATGTTAGTGTCAGCACCTCTGGGGTACAAAGCCAGAGGCAGCTTTTTTTCTTTTAGGCCAGGTTCCACTCCGTGCATCAGGCTGGAGTGCAGCCCTAACAGCTCACCACGCCCAGCCGCCTCATGCGATCCTCCCACCTCCGTCTCCTGAGTAGCTGGGACTGCAGGCACACACCACCGCGTCTTGATGATTTTGTATTTTGGGGGGGCAGAGATGGGGTTTCAGCCCAGCGTCCCTCCCGCCACGGCTTTCTCAAAGTCCTGGGATTGCAGGCGTGAGCCCCAGCGCCCAGCATGCCCTGCGGCCTACGTCTACAGCAGGCAACGAGGCAGAATAGCGGCACCGCGCCTGCAGTGTGGCGGCATGCAGGCCTCCTGGACACCCAGGTGGTGCCTTTCTCATGCATGGGTGCCTTGGGTCCCACCCAAGACCCCCTCCTCAGCTCCCACCCGTGAAAGAGACCCCACCGTGCTCCCTCACCACCAGCTGGGGATGTCCTGACCCCCTACCCCCTGCCTCCTAACATTACGGACTCTAAACCAGGACCCTGGCTTCACTGTCCCCACCCATGGCATTCTCAGTGAGGGGCGCCCAGGCCCACCCACTCCCTGACTGACTTCCATCCCTCTGAGGCCCTGCCCGTGACATGCATCCCATGTCCTCTGCTGCCCACCTCAGCCCCGCAGGCCTCACTGGTGAGGAGGGGAGGCTTCACGGCCGGCAGAGGACAAGATGGCAGCTGGGGGCAGGGAAACAAGGGCTGCCAGGCCTCAGCTCATGATGCCCCCAAATTCCCCAGGGCATCCCCAGTCCTGGACACTGCTGCACTGCAGGGTACCCTCTGCCCCACCCCCTCAGTGGAAACACTTGTCCTGACTTGGCCCACGGGTCCTGCTGTTGCCCCTCTCACACCGACACAGCCAGGCTGGCCTGGGGGTCGCACCACCTGAGGCGGCAGAGCTGAGCCAGGGTCCAGGGCCAGGCTCCTCTGAGCCCATCTCCAGGGCAGCCCCTGTACCCCTGCCATGCTGGGCTCCGTGAGGACATCTGGGTGGCTCTCTGCAGGTGACGCACATGTGCTGTGGCTGCCCAGGTGTGTGGCAGGTGCATGGGGGCAGGGCTGTCAGCTCTGCCAGGGCCCTGGAGTCCAGGAGTGGGCGAGTCTGGGATTATTCCACAGCTTCCAAACCCACATCCAGCCCAGTACCTGAGCAACAGCCCAGAAAGGCTTGAGCCCGGCTGTCCTGGTAGGGCAGGTAGAGTGGGTCCTCCCTGCCCAGCCGACAGGAGGCAGCCGGCAGTGCCCAGGTGGGAGGGGCTCAAGCTCTCAAGGTGTCCCCCAGCCAGGACTCATCCCAGGGCAGGGACCCCTCATGGGAGGGTGGGAATGACACGGGGCCCGGGACCCCCCACTGAGGACCTCGGCAGACCCATCACAGCAAATGGAGCGTAGGCCTGTATTTGACACCCGGTCACTCACTCCAGGGCTTAGGAAAGAACCCGTCCGCCGTGGGCCGCTGTGCCCACCTAGAGCAAGTCGTAGAAGTAGTCCAGGCCCTGGCCCAGCTCCCAGATGGACACCCCGACGCCCAGCTCCCGCGCCAGTTCCAGCCGCACCTGCAGGGACTGGGCACAGACGGAAGGGTGAGCGCCTCCTGGGCCCATCCCCCAGCACCCAGGGACGCCCTCCATGCCAGGGCAGCACTGCCTGGACCCCAGGGCTGCAGGCCCCCATCCCATGGCCAGCAGCACACGCACCTTCAGGGTTGGGTAGAAGACGACGTGTCTCCCACTGCGGCTCCTGCAAGACAAGGGGACTGTCACCCGTCCGCCAGCTCTGCTGGCCCGGGGCCGCCTCCCCCCACAGCCACGGTCCAGGTCCTGTCCCCCTGCCAGGTGGCCACATGCTGTCTTGCTGTGCACCGGGGCGGGAGTGGCAAGTGGGCTCCCCTACTTCCACCCCCAAGGCCCCACCCTGAACACGGAAGCCGAGGCGGCCACCCACGTCCCAACACTCACTTCTTGTATTCGAATAAGTGCTCCGAGGCTTGGCTGTCCCACACCATCCGGGGCCTGTGGTCCTTCAGTGTCTGGATGTACCTGGGGAGACCAGGATGTGGGTTTTGGAGCTCCGCCCGCTCCCCCACGGCCCCACGCTGCACCCCCAGAGGCTGTGGCTATCAGCAGGGGCACAGGGCCACTCAGGGCAGCAGGTCAAGGGAGCCACCATCCCGGTGGTCTGGGGATGATGGCTGGTGCGGGGGAAGGTGAGGGGGAAGGCTGGAGCTTCAGGTCCCGTATTTGAGGAATTCTCAGAAAACACATCTTTCCAGTAGCCTCCTCAGGAGAAGCCACTCCACCGAATCCTCAATGCCCTGATCTGGAGGGTGACAGGGGGCCTGAAGCTGCCTGACGCTGGCGGTGGCCCTCAGGCTATGCAGTGGCTGCTGGACGGGGCTCCTCACTACCCAGACAGAAGGCGAGAGGCCAACCAGGCAGGCCTCAGGCTGCCCTGGCCCCACTGCAGGCCCTGGGCTGACAGGCAGGCCTGGTCCTGGGCAGTGGTTTCTGCCCCGTTTCAAAGGCTGCGTCTGCCTCAGTCCGGAAGTGACCAGCCCATGCCCTGGACTGCGGCAGGCCCCTCCTGAGCACCGGGAGCCAGGGGTGTGAGAACCACCGGTCCTTCACACAGAGGACAGCTCATTCCCAAGGTGCCGGGGACAGGACTGCGCTTTCCAGAAGGTCACGGGGGTCCCTGAGTGTGTGCACAACTCACTGCACATCTGGGACCAGGGCAGGTGGTTCCAGAACACTGGGCCACAGCCACCAGCAGCACCAACAGATGGTTCCGGAAGCTTCTGGTCTCTGCAGCAGGAGTCTGTGCAGGTGGTGGTGGCTGACGGTGGAATATGACCCATGCCTGCTGCATGAGGACGGTGCCCCCAAGTGCCTGGGGCTGCAGCCACAGGGAGGAGGCCTGGCCTGGACCTACAGCCCAGGTGCCATGGAGGGAGGGGAGGACAGGCAGTGGGCAGCTGCAGGGGCATCCGCAGGACCCTAAGGGAGCAGGGCTGGACAGCGCGGGCTTCATCCAAGTGAGAAACGGCGACCACGGGACCGCACCTCGACCCACCTTCCCAGTGCTCCTATGCTCCTGCCCAGGAGGTGTGGGATGCTTGAGTCTCCTCAACGGGGACAGGCTGCTGTTCTGAGCAGGGCAGGGGCCCCCCGGCCCCAGGAGCCTCTTCCAGACTAGGGCGTATGTCACTTCAGAGCCATGAGGGAGAGCAGCTGCCACCCGCCCAGCAGTGCATGAGAAAGTGCCAGACCCCGTGGGGTAGCTCTAGCCTTTCAGGGCATGGGGTGGATGGGGGCTGCTCTGCAGACATCAGACCCCAGGAGAGACACAGCAGGGAGGGTGAGATGTGGCACTTGGGCAGCCTCCCCAAGCCAGAGTTTTCTCCAGGCACCTGTTTTTGCTGCGTTCGCCCAGGCTGGAGTGCAGGGGCACCATCTCGGCTCACTGTAACCTCTACCTCTTGGGTTCAAGCGATTCTCCCACCTCTGCCTCCTGAGTAGCTGGGATCGCAGGCACCTGCCACCATGCCTACCTGGTTTTAGTATTTTTAGTAGACATGGGGTTTCTCCATGTTAGCCAGGTGGAACTCCTGACCTCAAGTGATCTACCCGCCGCAGCCTACCAGTGCTGGGATTACAGGCGTGAGCCACTGTACCCAGCCCCTCTAGACGCTGGCAGTGGGTGGCAGCAGTGGCTGGCAGCTCCAGCCATCCCAGGCCTGGAAAAGCTCTGCTGGACCTCCACCCTCCTGGGGCTGGGCCAGGCCCCTCAACGACCATGTGTATGTAAACACGGTCCTTCCAGAAGCCCCTCCAGGCCAGGCAACATCATGGAGGCAGCTGCAGCCATAGCCACAACCCCTGAGACAGCTCTGAGATCACTGCTTTATCCTTCACTGAAATGGCACCCGAGGTGTTGATTAATTTGCAGTTCCCCCCCACCCCTCACCGCAATATCTGCTGAGTGGCTCTGTGGGAATGAGACGGGCAGGGTCGTGGGCAGACGCCACAGGACGGGCCCTCGAGCACTGGGGAGCTCTGGCCACGCCACACACTCCTTCTCCTGGGGGGCCTTTGTGGTCACCCCTCAAAATCTGCTGCCCCCAGAAGGTGAGGCTGGGGGTGGCCAGGACCCCAGAGAGAACTGGGTACGTCCGCTCAGGCTGGTGGTTTGGCGTGGGGGTGGTGACCATGCTGTGGGGGCAGCCATGACCAGGGCGCTGACAGGGACCCCAACCCTGGGAATCGCTACCCTCAAGCAGGCACTGGGGATGAGGAGAAGCAGGAACCAGGGGCTGGGTAGGAGTGTGTGCCCAGCTCCCAAAAGCCCAGGGAGGGTCCGAGACTCACTTCCGGGAAGGGAGGGTGAGGCCACCGGGTGTAAGGGTGGGGCAGCTGCAGACAGGAGTGAGTCCAGGCCCCTGGTGCAGGGAGGACCGTCCTCAGAGGGGCTGGAGCCTTGGGGACCTGAGTGGCCCAGGCTGATAACTGGGACCGCCCTTGAGGGCTTATGAGGGAGCACGGCTGGTGTGAGGGGCCAGGCTCTCAGGCAGTACATGGGCCACACGGGTCCTTCAGGGAGCAGCACCGGCCACAGGGAGGGGAGGGTGGGCGATCGGCCTGCCTAAGAGGAAGGGGAGGGGAGGGACAAGCACACAGAGAAGGGCATGTGAGCAGTAAGGACGCAAAGCTCACGGGCGGCTGCGGCCTCGACCTCACAGAACGGTCCAGAACAGACAAACCCACAGACGGTGGGCTGGAGGTGGACACAGGCCAGGGCAGGGAAGGCAACAACTACGGAAAGGCACAGGGCTGCTTTCGGGGAGCAGGGAGGGCTGCACAGGTCTGTGGGCGTACTGAATGCCACTCTGAAATGGTCTGAATTTTATCCTTGTAACTCAAAAAGACTCACAAGGCCTCAAATGGAAAAGGTCAAGGAAATCCAAACAGGACATACACACAAAACACACCCAGACACACCACAGAGGAATCGGGAGGACCAGGGATGGAGAGGGCGTTCTGGGTGTTTCTATGGAGAAAGCACGAGAAAGACGTTCCTGAGCCTCCTGATGAGGGGGTCACCCCACAGAGACCAGCTTGGAAACTTGTCTTGGAGAAGGGACTCCAGAAAACCAGGGACGTGCTCCAGAGCCTGGGGAGGCTGCCAACGTCTAAAAAGGAAGGATGAAGAACAAAGATACCCGAGGGGGCTGGGCGAGGTGGCTCATGCCTGTAATCCTAGCACCTTGGGAGGCCAAGGTGGGTGGATCACTTGAGGTCAGGAGTTCGAGACCAGCCTGGCCAACGTGGTGAAACCCCATCTGTACTAAAAATACAAAAATTAGCTGAACATGGTAGCAGGTGGCTGTAATCCCAGCTACTCGGGAGGCTGAGACTGGAGAGTCGTTTGAACCCAGGATGCCAAGGTTGAAGTGAGCCGAGATTGTGCCATTGTACTCCAGCCTGGGTGACGGAGTAAGACTCCATCTCAAAAAATAAAGCTGCCCGACGGAGAGAGGGAGAGATGGAGGAAGCAGCAGCGGTCAGAGGAGGCACTCCCAATACCTCACCTCCGCTCTGTGGCCCTGGCTGGAGCAGGGGTGCCAGCCCCGCAGGGCAGCCAAGTCTGAGCAATCCCTCCACCCTGCTAAGCGGAGGGACCACGGAGGACCGCCCCACAGACACACTGCTGCTGTCACACCAGCCCAAGAGCCCAGGTTCGGGACTCTCAGGAGGGCAGTGGGCCATGGACCTCCATTGCCCTGAGCAGCCTTGGCCCAGTGGCTGGCAGGAGCCCTGGTCATCCACCAAGAAGGGCGTCCCTCTCTTGGCCCCTGAGAAGAAGCCAGCTCATGGGAGACTTCGAGGAGGCTGGCGTCAGAGGCCGCTGGGGGCCTCTCTCCTTGGGTCTGCCCAGGCAGCCTCCTGAGATGCAGGATGGACAGGAGCATGTGACCAGACGTTCTGGGACACCTCGACTGCATGTGCAGAACCAGCCTGGGCTGAGCAAGGAAGGAGCCTGGGGAGGTGGCGCCAGGATCTCAGCAGGAAAAGGTCCGAGAACTCTGGGCCAGCGGGCACCGGGAGACACGGGTTGGGACGGGGCGGGAGCTGTGCACCTGTACCACAGCTGGGGCCGCCTCACCGGGGGATGCAGTTACAGATGTGGTGACGGAGCCTCCAGGCCCTTCCTGGCCCACACCCACAGCCCAGGTTAGGTGGCTGCCTCTCCCAGACTCAATTTTTTTTTGAGATAGGGTCACTGGGCTCAGTGACTAGAAATACAAAAGACTAGTTGGGCATGGTGGCATACACCTGTAGTGCCAGCTACTTGGGTGGCTGAGGCAGGAGAATCGCCTGAACCTGTGAGAGGCTGAAGTGAGCCGAGATCAAGCCACTGCACTCCAGCCTGGGCGACGAGCGAAACACCATCTCAAAAACAAAGAGATGGGGTCCTGTTCTGTCACCCAGGCTGGAGTGTGACGCTGTGACCAGAGCTCGCTGTAGCCTAGACCTCCCAGGCTCCAGCAATCCTCCCACCTCAGCCTCCTGCATAGCCGGACTGCAGGTATGCAACACCACACTAACTTTTAACATTTTTTAGAGATGGGGGTCTTGCTATGTGGCCCAAGCTGGTTTCAAACTCCTGGCCTCAACTGATCCTCCCATCTCGGCCTCCCAAACTGTTAGGATTACAGGCGTGAGTCACTACACACAGCACCCCTTAGACTTGACCAACCAGCGACGGGGCTGTACTGGCTCCAAAGGTGCAGCCACTCCACAATCACGGAATGCTGTGAGCCGCCCTGAGCTGCCCTGAGGAAGTGACTGTGTGTCCCAGACGCAGCAGGCAGAAGACACAGCCTGGTGGGCACAGCTCCCTGCAGGGAAAAGAGCACGAGGCCCAGCCCAGCCTTGGGAGTGTGTGTCCAGAGAACCGCCTCCTCAGGCCCCCCAGGAGCTCCCCCAGGGCTCTGACGCCAGCTGCTTCTAGCCAGTGGGAGGAGGGGCTTGCCGGTGCTGCCCAGGGCCAGGGCACCCCGGGACTGAGAAGCAGCAGTTCTGTAGGTGGCCCCGTTGGTGGCTTCGTTACAGCTGCCCTTGAAGACCAGCACGGGTAAGACTCAAGGCCAACACTGTGTCCCTTTCAAAGCCAACCAGAAATAAGGCTTTCCCGAAGGCCTGGGCAAGCAGAGCCCACAGCTGGAGCGGAGTCAGGGCTGGGTACATGGGGAGGTCTCTTGCTTTGCACAGGGGACCCTGGCTGGGAGCCCAAGCTCTATACGGCTCCACACAAAAGGCCCCAGAACCAGGCCTTGTCAGGGATGGGGGAAGGCGGGGAGATGTGCCGTGCTTCCAGAACCTTCCTGGGAGTCCCAGTGTCAAAGGAGGGCTGTGGTGGGGGATGGTGCAGAACACACAGGAGCATAGAGCAGCCCTGATGGAAACAGACAATGGGGGCAGACAGGGCGGCCGGGCCCCCTCACCCGGCAAGGCAGGGACATGTGAGCTGACGTCAGTAACTGACCCGTGTCCCATCTCAGCAGCAGCAGGGGACCCAAATGAGCCGGGGCCCTGGGACATCGCCCTTGCCTGTGCACAGCCCCGAGTGTCTCAGGAGTGGCTGACCTCTCCCTGACCCATGGGTGAGATGTGGGAGAGAAGATGCCAGGCTCCTGCTGCCCAGGCTGGACCCAGGCCCTCCTCAGCCAGCACCCCCTCGTGTCCGTCCCCACAGCAGCGTCAGGCCCTGCTCAGTGACCCAGAGCAAACCCAGGGCCAGGAGCCAGGGAACAGCAGGAGCCAGGCCCGGGCTGGACCCCAGAACCAGCGGTGTGAACAGAGAGCGGCGTGTCGGGGGAAAGCCTCCCTAGAGGACCACCATACACGACCCCGGTCTTGCAACCTGGCCCACCTGACATCTGCCGTGGAGGGGCTCAGGGAGGGCAGCCTTGGAGGCCAGGCAGGGAACGCTGGCCAGACACACTTCCCTACCGACCGCCGCCACCCTCAGAACCCGAGAATCTAGCAGTTACTGGATTCTCCACGGCCCCCTCCATGGCCAACCAGGAGGAAGCAGGGCAGATGGGCTGGCCTCTGCTCACCTGCCTGGACTGACCACGCACACACCCCTCACGGAGGGCAGGCCTTTGGGGGAGCTGCACAGACTCACAAAGATGACAGCTGAGGCCTCCACAAAAAGGACCAGGTTCTCCAGAAAAACGAGCCACTAAAACTGTTTCTAAGAGACCCAACTGCACCTAGAACAAAGATTAGTATGATTTATAAAAATGCCAAAACACCCAGCACCCAACACAGTAAAATCTGCAACATCTGAGGCATCAGCCCAAGGGTACCCGGCCCACAGAAAGGCAGCACGATGGGACCCTGACCGAGGAGGAGAAGCAGCCCACGGAAACCCACCCTGACGTCGGCATCCGCAGACGCCTGAATCCCAGTGTGCAAAAGTTCAGTGGAGACACGAACACGTAAGGTGACCCCAGATAAGCCTCCAGACATGAGAATTACATGCTGGCCAGGCTCGGTGGCTCACGCCTGTAATCCCAGCACTTTGGGAGGCCAAGGCAGGCGGATCACAAGGTCAGGAGATTGAGACCATCCTGGCTAACCCCGTGAAACCCTGCCTCTACTAAAAATGCAAAAAAATTAGCCGGGTGTGGTGGTCCCAGCCACTAGGGAGGCTGAGGCAGGAAAATCGCTTGGACTCGGGAGGTGGAGGTTGCAGTGAGCGGAGATTGTGCCACTGCACTCCAGCCTGGGCAACAGAGTGAGACTTCGTCTCAAAAAAATAAAAATATACTAAAAATAAGAAAGTTGAATTACAACACGTGAGGTGACAAAGGTGCTGGATGGGATTGACAGCAGCTTGGGAGCAGCAAGAAAAATGACCAGGCCAGGCTTGGGCCTCACACCTGTCACCCCAGCACTTTGGGAGGCTGAGGCAGGAGAATCACTTGAGCCTAGAAATTTGAGACCAGCCTGGACAACACGGCAAAACCCGGTCTCTACAAAAAAAATACAGAAATCAGTGGGGCGTGGTGGTGCGCGCCTGTGGTCCCAGCTACTGGGAGGCTGAGGCTTCAGTGAGCTGTGATCACGCCTTTGCACTGCGTCCTGGGTGACAGCACGAGACCCTGTCTCAAAAAAACAAAAGAAAACAGAGAAAAAAGGATCCCAAAGAGTAGAAGGTGTATTAGTGAGCTGCGGGACACATTCAGTGGATCCAGTGTTTGCAGTCTCCAAAGGAAAGGGGAGATGGAAAGAAACAGAAAAAGTATTTCAAGAATCTGCCCCAAATTTTCCAAATTTGCTGAGTATAAACGCACAGATTCCAGAGGCTCCATGAACGCTAAGCAAAAGGAAAATGAAAACACGTCAATTAAATTGTTCAAACCCAGCGATAAATATGAGATGGTCCTAAAAGCAGGGAGGGGAGCAGGCGGCAACAACCTTCAAGTGCCGACGAGAAACTGATGCCGGAACCCCACAGCCGGGAGGAACGTCCTCCAGAAACGAGGTAAATCAATGCCGTCAAGAAACCCCACGGGCAGAGCGCACGAAGAACGCACAAGGCAGGAGGTCAGTCCTGCATTCAATGAAGGAGGCCCCGCCCCAGCCAGGGTGCTGCGGGGCAAGGCTGGCAGGGAGGACGCAGCCTCACGCAGATGTGGGGACAGCTAACGTGGCGGTGCTGTGGGTGGCGACCAGGTGGGGTGGGCACCAAGCATGACTGGCTCCTGGCCCAGCCCAATCTCCGACGCTGTGGTACACGAGCTCCAGAGGACTGGGACCCTCCCTATCCTCCAACACCCACCCACACCGGGGGACACTTTCAGCACGGCAGGAAGAGCCCTTGGCTCACCTGGCCCCAACAATGGGCTCCCGGGAATCCTTGGAGGTTGCGTAGTCCATACCGTAGAAGTTGAGTCCCAGGAGGATTTTGCTTCGCCACTTGGACTTGGGGTCCAGGACTTGGACGCAGGCTCGAACCCAGGACAGCGGTGCGTTGGGGCCAGGCCTGCAGGGCAAGGGGTGAGTGAGTTTCAGCAACAGGGAGGGTCATGCTCCTGAGCCATCGCTGGGGCCTTCCACGAGGGATGCCTTCTCCCCAGGCTGCAGCTGCCTCTCCGAAGTCGGGAAGAACAGAAATGATCCATGTTAACGGGCTGTCAGCAAAGCAGGCCCCATGAGGCACCCACATCCAGGGCCAGGCACTCATGTGCGGCTCCCTGCCCCAGAGCCACAGGCAGGAGTCCACATGACATGGCTGGGAAGGGGGTCTGTGCCTGTGCCCCCCCCATGACCCAGCTCCACCCCAGGCAGGGCCCCACCCATGTAACTACCACAGGGCATGGAGCGGGCACGGTGCCACCGGCTTTCCCCAGGTGGGCATCCAGGCTCAGCAGGTGGCCTTATGCAGAGCCACAGACTGTAGCTGTGTCTGCTGCACCCAGGAGCCCTCCAGGTCCACACTCACTGCTCTGCTGTGGAGCCTGCTGTGCCCAGGAGCCCCCAAGCCCACTCACTGGTGCGCTGTCGAGTAGTCGTAGGTCATGAGGCTGAAACCATCTAGCACGGGGGCCAGTTGCTCAAACTCCTTGTGCGTGAACATGCCCAGCTGGTCGGTCCTGCAAGACAGGTACAGCCCCCTCAGGCTACTCTACGCCGTCTGAAGCCCCTGCCCAGCTGGGGTGACGGCTAGCTGGCTGTGTGGGCCTTGGGTCACTGTTTCCGTGGGGTGGAGGCAGCCTGCAACTGGGTCAGGGCTACAGAGGCTGGGGCCTGGGGAAGACAGGAGGATGTGGTCACTTGGGCCCAGAGGCCTCCCTGAGACCAAGTTACAGCTGAAAACAGGGCTCACAGCGGGCAGACCAGGCCAGGGCTGCCCATGGAGGAGCAAGGTCAGTGGAGTGCAGCTAAGAGGGTGGGCCACTGCGGAGAGCTGGGGCTGCTGAGATGCAGCTGACGGATCCGGGCTCCCAGGAGCGTCCCCACCCAGGGTCTGCACCAAAGCCTCCCTGAAAGCAGGGCCAGCTCCTGGGACGCCAGCCCTGAAGGCCACTCAGCATCGGCCTGACCCCACCAGGTTGTCCAAAGCCCTCTCTGGACCTCAGCAGGGAGAAGGGAAGGACAAATACTTGGCTCCCAGGATGGAGCAGGGCTGTGTAGTACATTCCCCAGTACAGCGGAGTGGGCACCAGGGCAGGTGGTTGGCTGTGGGCACCTGTGGTATGGGCACTGAGGAGGAAGCAGCCCTGGGCCATCTCGGGATGGCAGCCCTTCCCCTGGGGACCCACCTTCCTGACCTAGATCCACTGGGGACCAATGTCTCCTGGGGGCAGCCCTCCCGCCTGCCCCAGGGACAGCTGAGTGCTCGCCGATGGCCGCTCCACACCAGGTCTGTAAGCAGAGGGGAGACGGGAGGGGCACACAAAGGTCAACGCTGAGGGCTGAGGGCCTTCACGGCAGCAGGACACAGGGCGGGGTGCGGACGGAGTGGCACTCACAGAAGCGAGGTGGTTCCCTGTGAGGCAGTGAGGCTCTGACCCCTTCTGAAGGTTACTGGGCTCCCATATACGGACCACGCCAGGGGCCTCCGTGCTGGGGGGCAGTGCTGGAGCCTCTCTCAAGGGCGTGAGGGCCAAAGATGCCCCTGCAGATCCCTGGACCCACCTGGCAGGTCTGAGGAGCCCCTCTCCAGATGTGCAGCTTTATCCCAGCCCTTGCCTTGAGTCTGCCAGGTCCAAGGTCCGGGCCTCCCTCCTCTGCTGGACACCATGAGACCCAGGCCCCAGAGTGTGCAGGGACGTGGGGCATCATCCATGGTCCCCTCAGCCCCGATCTCTCTTCCTGGAGCCCTGCCTGCCCAGCCTCACTGCTCAGGCATGGTCAGCCTCCCTGGAACCCCGACAAACACCCCCAGTGCTATGCCTGTCACCTCCTGGTGGCCTCCCTCAGTGCCTGGGCCCCTCCCTATAGCCAGGAGCCCCTAAGACCGCAGCCCCAAATCCAGGTGTCCACAGGACCCTCCCCACCCTGCAGCCTCCCGCTGGGCCAAGGCCTCCACCCAGGTCCTCTCACCCACACCCAAGGTCATTTCTTCTCTCTTATTTTGAGATGGGGGCCTCTGTGTCACCCAGGCTGGAGGGCAGCGGCACAATCCTGTCTCACTGCAACCTTGGACTTCTGGGCTCAAGCAATCTTCCTGCCTTTTTGATTGATTCAAAAAAGGAAAAATGGCTGGGAGTGATGGCTCACACCTGTAATCCCAGCCATTTTGGGAGGCTGAGGAGGGTGGATCTCTTGAGTCCAGGAGTTGGAGACCAGCCTGGGCAACACAGTAAGACTCTGTCTCCACAAAAAAAATTTAAAAATTAGCCAGGTATGGTGGTGTGTGCCTGTAGTCCCAGCTACCTGGGAGGCTGAGGTGGGAGGACGGCTTGAGCTCAGGAGGTGGATGCTGCAGTGAGCCGTGATGGTGCCACTGCACTGCACGACAGCCAAGATGATCAGTCAGCCCTGCTGTGGACAGGGTGCCGTGTCCCCACAAACCTAACCACCGACCGGATGGTTTCTGGAGACGGGGTCTTGCAGAGGTGATTAGGGTTAGACAAGGCAGTGATGATGGGACCCACGGTGGAGTTACAGTCCTTACGAGAAGATACCACAGCTCTCTGCCACGTGAGGACGCAGAAAAAGGAGGCCTCGCTGGAGGGCAAGCTGTCGTCGGTCCCAGGCGGCCCCCAGCCCCTCCCACACGGAAACCCTGGCTCACAGCCCCACAGCAGCCTGTGGACTGATGCCAGGCTGTGCTGCGTGGGTTCCATCCCCGCCTGGCCGCTCCTGGGCTGCGATCTCCCCGTGGTTTTCATTTGCGCTTCCCTCATGAATAACGAGACTGAGCATCTCCTGGCCTGCCCAGCTACGTGCACGTGTCTACCGCGGCCTCTCGTGGCTCAGAATCCAGCTCTCCTGCCTGCCTTTCTCTGGGGTCCTTGTTGCTTTCTCTCTTTTCCTCTCTTCTGCGTTTGAGACAGGGTCTTGCTCTGTTGCCCAGGCTGGAGCAGTGGCATGACCTTGGCTCACTACAGCCTCAAAACCTCCGGAGCTTGTGATCCTCCCGCCTCAGCCTCCCAAGTAGCTGGGACTACAGGCACACGCCACCACACCTGGCCTAGACTGGCCGGCGTGACTCCCTGGCCTTCGGCTCCTCCTCTGCCAATCTCATGGCAGCCCTCTCAGAGCAGTTTCCCGCTCTGCAGGGGCCTGTCCCACAGACCGACCACCCCCACCCCTGTGCCCACAATGCCCTCCCAAGCATCCTGTCCCACTTCACATGCTATCAGACATGCGGCCTCCTGCCATGAGCTGGACCCTCGAGCCTCCCCCACATCCATGGAGCTGCCACGCCCCCACCACCTCCCTGCCCTCCACCACCTCATGGCCATTCCTGGTAGAGCTGGCTTCCCCCACAAGGCCTTGGCAGATGAGACCATGTGCCTAGGACCTGACTCCCACCAGCTACTGAAAGTGACACAGAAACCACCCACAAATGCCCCCCAGGCCTCCACCAGAAATGCATCTCCATGACATCCCCAAGCAGGAAGGGACAGTCCTGCCATGACGTGGCTCCACACTGACCCCCTCAGTGCACCCGACATGTGACATGCATGTGGCACGATACACATTTCCCTTCAGGGCTCACACAGCTGCCCACGGACCCCACAACTCTGCTACAGCTGGGACCAACCACGGCCACAGGCTGGGAACGGTCCTCAGGCTATAAAGGTGGTAACACAACAGCTAGGACGAGGCAGGAGCAGCTCACGGTAGCCCTCAGTGGGAGAGAGGGGAGGACACCAGGCCTGGGCCCATGGTCCAGCCACCCCTCACCTGGTGCCGACCCTGGGGACCACCTGGGAACGTGGACCTCCTCCTACCTGTGAGGAAGACAGGCTGCGCAGGGGCCGCTGCCAGGACCGCCCCTCCCCAGCCTGTGTCCCTCACCCACACCCGCGACAGCCCACAGCGGAGCCATTTGTCTCTGTGCCCCGTGGCACCCAGACAAGAGGGGATTGCCACGGCTGAGCGACAAAGTAACAGCTTGCCACGGATTAGACGCAGTGTGACTTCTGACGAACAGGAATTACTGCTCACACTGAAAATACCATGTTCTGAAATCATTTCTGAGGAACGAAGGCCCAGGGAGGAAGGAAGGGAGGAAAACATGCTCATCGCAGCCGGCTGCCTGCCTCCTGCCTCCCGCCTCCCATGTCCTGGGCGGGCCCCATGCAGGCAGTGGCAGGCAAGGTGAGTGCCCACTCAGCCTTGACCAGACCCGGGCCCATACCAACACCAGTGCCCCTCCAGCTGGCTGGGCGCCTGGGCTGCCCCTGCACCAGCTTCGTGCTGAGATAGGCTGCTATGCACCCCAGCACCCCGGCACTGTCCAGCTGGCTGCTTCACACTCTCCTCCCCAAGTCACCTCTCCTTTCCCTCTTTCCAGAAAGAGGGAACAAGCAATCCCAGGTTGGGGCCTGACCAGGTCTCTCCAGCCACGTGGACCCCATGGCTGCCAGAACAAGGGTGGCTGCAGCCTCCAGAACACTGTCCTCCCAGACGCCGAGAGGCAACAGTGAGGCGAGTGGGCCACAGCCCCTGCCACGTACCCACTGTCCCCCCAGCACAGCACGACTCCCACGTTCTACCAGCCACCAACCTTGGTCCTGATACTGGCCCCACGTGGCAGATGCCCTCTTCCCTCGGCTGACCACCTGCACCTCCAGGTAGCATCTGCACAGGTGCAGTCGACGCAAAAGGGGCGTTGGCTCCACGTCAACATGGCCTCAGCCTGTGGTCAGCAGTCCCTGCCAGCCATTCCGTCTGGCCCCGCAGCTGCCACCTGCAGAGCCAAGCCCCACAGCAGCCCCAAGGGAATACCATTCCCCATTCCTAACAGAAATGGTGGCATCACTGCCAGGCCTCACAGCAGCCCCGAGGAAACACCAGTCCCAACCCTAACAGATGCTGGTATCATTGTCCATGCAACTTCTCATGCTCAGGGCGTCTGCCCCCAGCAGCCAGTGCCCACACCTGCTCCTCCCCCCACAGACTGTCCCAAGGGGTCTTAACAGCTCCCCTCCCTCTCTGCCCACCTGTCGGGGATTTCTGAACCTGCTCCCCATAGCCTTGAGTCGCCTATCTTCTGTGCCGGCCTGCCCAGCCCTGGGGGCTCCCCCCTCACCCCGTCATGATGGCTGCTCTACTGTCCATCAGCCTGCAGGACTAGCCCTCTCCCCGACTGGCTGGCCAGCACCCTTTGGCCCTTTGGGGCCTGATTTCAGCCTGGACTTCGGTCTATCCACACTGCACAGGGTGCCACAGTCCCCCCGAGAGGCCTCCACACACAACGCCAGCATGCGGCCAGCCCCTGCCCAAGGCTGCAAGCAAGGGGCAGATGGACAGGAGCTGGGGCCTCTGTGCAAATGTGCTGGGGGTCCAGTGATGGCCTTTCTCTGACTGCTGAGTCGGGCACCACACACAGTAAACCACGGGGGCTGGAGGAGATGGCCAGAGATGCGGCCCCACCCACCTCAGAGTGGACCACTGCTTACAAAGCCACCAAAGGCACCAGCAGGGCCAGGAAGGAAACCAGCCCTTCCTGGGTTGCTGAGATCAGCTCCCTGGACCCAAGGGGGTCCCAGTAGCTAAGGGTGCCCAGAAAACATGAGGCCAACTGGAGGCAGATCCAGGGGTTCTGCTCCCTATGCAAGGACACACCACCACACGGACACCTGGGGATGGCCTGCTGGTCCCAGTGGCCTGTGGGGTTTATGCTATGGCTCTGCCTCTGGGTCTCCTCCGTTGCTCAGACTGTGACCTTGGGAGCAGAGCTGGAGGTCAGCACAGCACCCAGTTCCAGGACCAGACCCCCTGGGGTCTGTGACAGCTGAGTTAGGGCTGCCTCTGTCTGCTGACAAAGGACGTGATGAATTTGCCTTTGGCAACGGGGCCGCCCCTCCCTGCTGCTCACAGACATCCTTCCCAGAACCATTGTTCCCTGGACAGCGGCCCTGGAAAGGGAGGGGCTGCGTGCTGGCAGTAAGGCTCTTGTGAGGTGAATGACAAGCATGATTACATTCTGCTGAAAAAGTATCGGGGAGAGGCATTTATGAGGCTTCTCTGCAGCACGCAGCTCTTCCCTCAGGGTGGAGTAGGGGCAGGATAAACACAGATGATAAAACAGTTCTCCTGACCTCTGCAGGGAAGCCAGCTCTCCACCCAGCTGGGTCCCACTTCCCTGGGGATCCCCACCGCAGGCCTTGGCCCCGCCCCCAGCGTGGTCAAAGCGGCCCCCAGCCCCAGCCCTGCATCCCACCCTACAGCCGCCAACCCCACCAGCGCCCTGCAAGCTTTGGTTACTGTGGGGTGAGGGGCAGGGGCCTGGCCCAGCTCTGACTGCCCACTTCCTGCCTAGGGCCAGAAGCTCAGGCAGAGGCAGCCACCAGCAGAAGGCAGGCCCCCCGGCCCTCTGCCCTGGCCTCAGAAACTACCCTGGGCTCCTGAGCTGGTCCCCACCAACAGCTGCTCTTGTAGCTCCCCTAAGCACAGAGAGCAACCTGGGAGCCTCACAGAGGTGGCCGGGCCCAAAGGCTCTGGACAAGTAGCTGCCACCCTGAGGAATTTCTCCCAGCTCCAGGCCTGCAAAGTCCTCCCAACCACTCCCTTCCTGCCCCCTTCAAACCCTGGGAACACAGATCGAACATACGCGTCAGACATAAGAGTCTCACATCAGAAAAGGCTGGGCACGGTGGCTTGGGAGGATGAGGCAGGAGGATCACTTGAGACCAGGAGCTCAAGACCAGCCTGGCCAACATGGCAAAACCTCATTTCTACAAAAACATACAAAACTTAGCTGGGTATGGTGGGACGCACCTGTGGTCCCAGCTACTCAGGAGGCTGAGGTGGGAGGATCACTTGAGCCTGGGAATTGGAGGTTGCAGTGGGATGAAATTGCCCCACTGCACTCCAGCCTGGGCAACAGAGCAAGACTCCATCTTAAAAATAAAGAAAAGAAAAAAAAGATGTAGAGTAGGGGATGACGCAGGCCCCGATCCCGGAACACAGGTGAGACCCCAGCCCTAAACCTGGCCCTGTTCTTGCTGGGGAGGGTACGCTGCTAGGCTATGGGAGCAGAAGCACTGAGGCAGAGCCAGGCCCTCCCCCAGTACCACCCACAGGTCAGCCCAGCAGACATGTAAGGGAGATGGAGGACCAGGCCACAGAGCAGTGGCCGTAGATGGGAGAGGCTCCCCAGGGCTTGGTCGCAGGCAGAGGCAGTCCCGTGTGCACAATGCTGGGTGCGTGTGAAGGCTCAGGCCAGGTACAAAGCAGCCTGGAGGCTTTCCACTCTCCAGCGTCTTCCATTGAGGGGGCAGTCAGAGCCCATCAGGAATGAGGAGCTGCGTGATGCTGGGAGCCAGAAGGGTCTGAGCACAGCCGGCCCCACTTCAGGGGACGAAGCTGCCCACGATGGCGGGGCCGGTGGCATGGCCTGAAACCTGGCCTGCAGGACACACTGCCATCTGCCCCTGGCACTGCCTGGCCCAGCTGCAGCCCACACTCATCAGCAGCCAACACTCATCAGCACAGAGCCCTGGAAAGCTTGGAGAGAAAAGGCGGTCGACCATGCAAAGGGCCCTCAGCTGCCTCCAGGCTGTGAAGGAGGCCAACAAGCTGCCTTTCAGCCCAGCGGGCGGCCAGGGCTGTGCTACCCGAGGGTGTGGCTGGCCTGTGCTGGGACAGGCATCTGCAGGGTGGCAGGCGCCAGGGAGCACATACTGGCTCTTCCGTGAGTCCCTTTGGCCATCCTCAGGTTTGGGGGCGCACCCAACCATACGTGGTGAGTGGCCCACAGTCACCTCTGCCTCTGGAGAGAAACGCGGCGGCAGAGGTGAGGGCTGAGAGCTTCCTTCCGGAGAGGCAGGCCGGGACGCCCAATGTCTGCCTGAGGGGCTGCTCCTCAGCAGCTGGTGGATCCTGGGCAGAGCCCCCTGAGGTACCCCCAGCCAAGCCGGCCCCCAACTCAGCCTGCTTCTATCCACTCGGCCCCCAGGTCTGCCCCTGGGACACCCATGTTGAATTGGAGCCTTCTGTGCCTGGCACAGGGGAGACCCTCCTGGCTCCCACAGCAGTGCCGGGCACTCTGCCTCCTGTTCTGGGTTCCAGAAGAGCCACCTCACAGAGCTGGGCAGGACCTCGCCCCAGTGGGTGGCTCCTGGGCCATGGTAGCTGTGGCTGTCCCTGCCTCAGCCTAATCTCCCTTGGGTGCAGGGGGGTACACTTGGCCTCAATGACCAAACATCTCAGAGCTCCAGGGCCCATCTGGAAGTTTATCTCCACTCAGGGGCTTTGTTAGCAGTCTTGATATGTCCAGGGTGGAAGGAGTCTCCAACCACCGATAGGCAGGAAGGCACGAGGCCGGCTGCAAAGAGCCTGTCCCCTCTAGGTCACCCGTGTGTGTGCGGCAGCTGAGGTCTGTATGCAGACGGGTTTGGGTGTGAGCAGGAGGTGCTGGGCCCCTGGCTGACATCCTGCACGGGCTGCCCCCGACCCCAGAGCCCTCTACAGCCACCCCACACCTCGAGAGCGGCACTTACCCAGGGGTGATGGCGGGTGGAATCACCAGAACGGCCAGCAGCCGGGCCTGATGCAGTGCCTCGGCCAGGTGGGTGAGCATGTGGATGAGGCCCCTGCAACAACAGAGGCGGAGTCAGCAGCGCTGGCACCTCCCGGGGTCCTGACACCCACTGCCTCCGGAAGGGGTGGGGCCCGTCCTCAGATGGACACCCTGTGGCAGGGCAGGGGAGTCCCTCTGTGGGAACTTCCTGCCGGTCTCTGGATGCAGCCCCAACAACACTGCTCATGCCCCACTGGGTCCACCCAAAGCACTTCCTCACACTCTGTGGCCCCCCAGAGTGGGGGCTTGTGCAGCACCCCAGGGACCCTCAGAAAGAGGGGCTCAAACAACCAGAAACAGCCCCATGTGTCCACATCACACTTCAGACATCTAAAGACATAGCAGGTTTAAAAAAAAAAAAAAGGCCAGGCCTGATAGCTCACACCTGTAATCCCAGCACTTTGGGAGGCCGAGGCAGGTGGATCACCTGAGGTCAGGAGTTCAAGAGCAGCCTGACCAACATGGAGAACCCTGTCTCTACTAAAAATACAAAAAGTAGCCGCGTGCCTGTAATACCAGCTACTCAGGAGGCTGAGGCAGGAGAATCGCTTGAACCCAGGAGGTGGAGGTTACAGTGAGCCAAGATCGTGCCACTGCACTCTAGCCTGGCCAACAGAGCATGACTCCAACTCAAAACAAAACAACATAGCAGGTGAGGAAATGCCCCAGCAGGCCCAGGACACTGACCCCAGGGTGGCCACAGGACACTCCAAGGGCCACGCCTACCTGGTGTGGCTCAGGGAAGGAGAGGGGAGGGCACTGGGCAGGGGGCCAGACAGAGCAGCAGGTAAACCTCCTCTGTCCCCTGGAGGTGGAGGCAGGGGCATCTCAGAGCAGGCTGGCAGTGTTCCCCAAAGGATGGCACTAGCCCCCACTCCTAGCATGGCCTGGGAGCAGCCGTCAGGACCCCAAGCCTGCCGTGTGCACACGCTGGTGCCCATGAGCCTGCCCTGCAGGTGACCTCTTTGCAGAAACTGCTCTGGAGCACACACTGCTGCAAAGTTGGGTTCAGGGTGACGTGTCCACGCTGGGGGGGACTCTCTGTCACACTGCAGGTCCCTGGGAGCAGCCCTATCTGGCGAGGAGACAGGACCGAGGCCGGGGCAAAAGCCGGCCCCCGCTGGCTCCAGGTCCTGCCCCACTCCAGCACAAGGCTCTGCCGGGCTCAGTGAGAACTGGGTTAGGCCATGACGGACTGCTGGTTCCTCAGCCAGTACCCTGAGGCCCCAGTGATCCTGATGGTGCCAGGACCAAGGCCTGGCACGTGCAACTGCTGCATGGTGGCAGCTCCTGTTTCCCTGGCATGGCCCAAATGGGACTGTCATTTTCCAACCTAAGCCTCCATCAATTCCTGGTAACTCTGGCCCAGAGGATCTGGTGTTAGCTCTGCTGGCTGCAATGCGGGCACAGTCCTCAGTGGGGAGCAGTCCTGGGGCACCCGGTCCTCATGCCTCTGCAGCACCCACAACTCTGTGGGTGCCGGGGGCTGTCACGCACTGCACATCACTTAGAGGCGGTGGTCAAAGAGGATGCTGCCCCTGCCCCTGAAACACCAGAGCCAAGTGAGCAGAGCAGGCCATGCCCAGACGCCTGGGGAAGCTGAGCCTACCTGGGGGCACTCCTGCCTGGCTCCCGCCTGCGGCGTCTGTGCTGTCTGCAATACACACAGCATCCCAGGACGGTGCCGGGATGGCTTTCCTCTGGGACACACCAGATCTGAGGGCCAAAAGGTGCCCTCAGCCACTCTTTGAGGGGCCCAGGGAGCCTGAGTGTCCTCCCACAGGAGGGCTCACGGCATGGCCCAGACTGGCCTTCAGGGAGGACATGTCTGAGTCAGGTCTATCCAGCGCCCCAGGAGACAATATGGGCCCAGAAGCAGTGTGGACCGCAGCTGCCGGGGGTGCCAGCATCACCCAGAGTGCTCCTCTCGACTGCCCCCCTCATCCCGCCAGCTGCTGGCACCAGTGGCTCCGAGTGTCCTTATCATAGCCCTCTGGGCATGGGGACAACCGTAAGGGGCCGACCCAGAGCTGAGGAGGGAACAGACGCAGCAGCATCCCTGCTAAGGGCACTGCCGACAAACCCGCAGGAAAACCTGCCCCAAGCCTGTGTCCAGGGCCCAGCGCAAGGGACCAGCCTTGGGCCCGGCACGCTAGGGGCTGAGGTCCAAGTGGTGGTCGGGATAGGACTGTGCCGTGGCAGCTCCCAGGCAGCAGAACGCCCAGAGGAATCTGTCAAGCTGCTCTGAGGAGCCCGGACACCGCCTGCCCCTGCCGGCGGCAGCTCCCACCTTCCTGCAGGAGCCTGGATGCAACGAGCCCCAGGCTGCTCCCACCCAACCTTCCCTGCTGCAGCCTCTCCTGCTTGGCAAACACACCCCCGCCCCGCCTCCTGCCCTCCCACCCTGACGTTAATGACCTGTCAGGAGCCCAGACACAACGAGGCTGTCTCAGCACCCCCAGCCTCCACCCCAGATACAATGAAGCTGTCTCCGCGCCCCCAGCCTCCACCCCAGACACAAGGCGTCTCCTGAGGAGCAGTCCTCTGGTGCCGTCTTGCTGCCTACCTAATGCTCTGAAACAGAAATGAGTTACAGTAAATCTCTGATTAATAGACCTGTTCTCCCAGGATTACTGAAAAGGCTGGAGGCTGGTAGAATCTGTCTCCGGCTCTGAGACACCCCTCCCCTCAAATGGTACCAGAAGGTCAGCCCAGGCAGGGCCCGCTGCCCATGGCTCAGTAAGGAACCCCTAAGACCGGGCCTTGGACTGTCCCTCAGCCAAGAGCACCGGCATCTGATCCTCTGGCAAAGCTGGAGCCTCAGAGGCTGTACAGACACCAGGCTCCCCACAGCCTGGGGACATCCTCAGCCCCACTGCAGCGCCCCTCCCAGCCACACTCCACACAGCTCCTGGTCCTCCTGCTGCTGCCAGGCCTCCCAGGAGGGAGGCGGACATAGCAGCCTCTCAGAAACACCCAGCGGGCAGCCCGATGAGGGGAGTGCTGGCTGAGGGTGCAGGGGTCTGAGCACCAGAAAACAGGACTGCAGAGCTCTCCGGAGCCTGGGCCTGGAGCAGCTCTGGGTGAAACCTGCGGCCTCCCAGCCAGTGAGGCCCTCAGGGCTCGGTGGGGTGCAGAGGATGGAGCCTCCCACAAGGGCAGGGCCAGCATGGGCTCCAGGCGCAGGGTCCCACGGGCCCTCGGGCAGGAATCCTGCCCCTCACAGGCTCTGCCTCAACAATGTCCCCGCCCTCTCTCAAGCTTCAGAGCTGTGTGGGGATGCTGCCCCAGGTGGGCAGAGCCTGGCCCTGCAGCTCCTCTGCCCAAAGCAGCAACGGGATGGCACTGCCACGGCCGCTGCAGGGGACACCATGGAGCCTGGCTGGGGGCTCAGGGCTGGGCCCTTAAAGTACAGCCAGAACTACTTCCGGTGGCGGTGGCGGGGAGCCGACCCCAGAACCCGTGGCTCGCACAGAAGGCTGAAGGCCAGACGGCTGCCGCAGGACTCTGCTGTCCAGGCACCTGCAGAGGGGCCATGCCAGGCTCACTCGCTGCAACCAGTGGAGTGAGAGGAGGCCACCTGTCCTGAGCGTGTTCGAGGATGCCCCCTGCCGACATCCTGGGCAGGAGTACCGTCCCTGTGTCTTCTGCAGGGCAGCTGCCACTTTGGCAGGACAGGGAGGGTGGCTGCTTCAGGTGAGCAGGACCGAGGTAGGGCCATTCCTCAGAGCTGTGGCCAGTCCAGGCGAGGAGTGGGGAGCCGTGGCACTTCCCATCAGTCCCTCTGTTCCTGGTCACATGGGCCACGGGGAGTGGGAACCCACGAGTATCATGGGCAGGCCAGGCTCTGATGTGGCAAAAGGGGGCCTGAGGGAGTGCTGCGGCCGGCTCCCCACGCCTCCACTGGACTGGCCACAGCCCTGAGGAATGGCCCTACCTCGGTCCTGCTCACCTGAAGCAGCCACCCTCCCTGTTCTGCCAAAGTGGGGGCCACCCTGCAAAGACGCCTGCGCAGGCTGCTTTCACTTTCCTGAACAGCGTCCATCTTCCGTGCAGCCCCATCCTGCCCCCAGGTTCGGGGACTGTGGAAGAAGGGCCCTCCCAAAGGGACTCCCTACGTTCCTTCCTCCAGCCTCTGCCAAACACCAGGGCCAGGACGAGGGCCGCCCACCACCTCCTGTGCCACTCACACGCGTTTCTGGCTTAGCAGCTGGTTCCAGACCTCCACCACGAAGCCATCAAAATGCTGGTTCTGAAAGAAGCAGTCACAGGTGAGGAGAGCCTGGAGGCCCAGGAGGGAGGGGTGGAAAGACAAGACGCCCGCCCCCTCCGCCTGCATGGCCAGGACATGGCCTGCTCACTCACAAGGCCAGACCCAAGCCTGGGCTGTATGCCCAGAAGCACTTGTCTGGAGGAGGACGTGTGGGGGGTCCCAGAGGAACAGGAATGGGGGGACCCGTGCTCTCATGCATCCTGCCCACCCATGTGCCTGCCCCAACCCCACCCAGGGGGCCTGAGGGCTCTCTGACTCTAACAGCCCAAACACACTGGCAGCCAGCAGGGCTGGGTCCCCTTGCAGGAGGGCAGTGGGCAGCTGGGCTTTGCCCAAGGGAAGCACCTGGCCCAAGAGACAAGCCTCCCATGCCTGGGACCATCAGAGGACCCGTAGTCAAGAAAGTGAGCGGCAGCCGCTGACACTGCCTTCCCTGTAAGGTGCAGGCTGCACCAGAAGGTGCCCAAAGAAGAAGCCAGGGAAGCTGAGTGGAGGGCTCGCTGAGGCCCAGCCAGATGGCCAGGTGGGGCTGGGGGCTGGGCCAGGTGGGGATGGGTCGGGGTCAGGTGGGCTGGGGCGGGGCCAGGTGGGCTGGGACCGTGCTCAGAGGCTGGAGCAGCACACAGGCCTCACAGGCCTCACCTTTGCCACCTGGACCATGGTCTTGCCCAGCTCCTCTATCTCATCTTCACTGTCTAAGACGTTCCGGAAATCATCGTAAGTCCAGTCCTCAAACAGAAGCCGAGGCACTGCGGGGGCAGCAGACACGAACAAGGGCCGGGGCTGGGAAATGCTGGAGGGCACCTGTTGCTTGTTGCCCTCAAAGGCAGCCTTGGCCTCCAGAGGGAAGCGAGAGCACCCAGTGATGGGCAGGGAGGCCACCTGGAGCAGCCACATGTCCAGAGAGGATGTCCCAAAGCCTCACAGGCTGGAGAAGGAGGGATGGTGGCGAAGGAGCAGGCAGACGCTGATGGTCCTGCTGCTCAGACACCAGCTCCCCGAACGGCTCAGCATGGGAGTGGCTCCACCTTACAGGAGGGCAGCAGGGACAGATTCCGGCTGCTCCAGCTCAGCCCCGTCACCTGCTTCTAGCATCTCCCAGGGCCTCTCCCTCAGCAACCCACACTCTTAATCCACTGCTTCTGAGGCTGCCACTGGATGTGGGGACACGTGCCCCTCCCTCCCCAGCCGTGAGCTACAGGGGCACAGGTGGGCCAGGGTCACCATCACCCTCAGGCCAAGCCCAGGGCTTGGCCCCAGCTGCCCCAACAGGGCTCGTCGTGTGAAGGAAGGAAGAAATAGAGGGGGAAGTGAGGGCAACACCATTAGCCAAGGTGGCCTGGCTTTGGCAGGCTACAGCCTGTGTGGACAGAGCCCAGGACTCCAGCCAGACCAAGGGCTGTGAATGCCAGGCCAGGGCCAGCCTCACCTTGTGCAGCCGGAATGACCTGTGCCAGAGCAGCACAGTTGGATGATCAGGAACATGGGGAGACCGCAGAGCCCACCTGTCCACCCTCAGAGGTCGTGCCATCACGGCCTCCACTCCCGGCCTGCCAGACTCACCTATGTGCAGGCCCTTAGCATTCTTCCTGATGGCTCGCATCCACCCTGTGGGACGTGGAGGGGACAGTCAGCACAGGGACCCGCGCCCAGCCGAAGACCCAGCCGAAGACCCAGCCCACCTGAGGAGGAAAACGTGGCAGCCGTACAATACGCAACAGGAACCAGGAATGACACGGGGAGGGGAGGCGGGTGTGAGAACCCACCCCTCCCTGGCCCAGGGCGGCCCTACGCATGCCCTTCCTCACCCCACCGCCTCCTGGCCAAGGCCCCCTCCTGAACCTGCAGAGCAGCTCTGAGCTTGCCCTCCCTGGGCTGGGACAGCTCAGAGCCTGTGGCTGGCCAGGGGGACAGGCAGCTGCATCCCGGGGCCTGGGGAAGGTCAGGGTTTCTCTGGGCTGAGGGGTGGCCAGACCTGCCAGGCCTGTCACTGGCTGACACTCCATCATCTCCCCACGGTTCTCTCAGTGTCAGGGAAAACCACTCCTGCTCTTGAACTACAAAACCGGCTAATACTTCCCCTGCCATGTCTCTCTGTCCGAGCCCGAACACAAGGCGTGGTCATGTAAACCTGGGCAGAAGTCATCAGGATATGGCATCGGGAGACAGCCTCTGCTTGAACCCCACCCTCCTCCCTGGCACAGAGTGAAAATCGCTAAGGGAGGGACAGAGGAGAAAGCCAATAGCCTGTGCCCTTCACTGCCCAGAGACTGCCTGAGTCATCGATCGCAGAGCGTGTCCTGCACATGCGGGGTGCTGCCCGGAGGCGTGGGGAAGACCCACCTCACAGCCGCCAGCACCACGGACAGAGCCGGGCGGACCGCTCCCAGGCACCAAGCTGGCCTTGTCGAGGGTCACACAGCGGCGGCCGCCTCAGGCCCTCTACCAGCCCTGCCCGGCCCCACTCACCTTCCTACCCAGCCCCAGCCCACACCATGGGCCTGCCCTCCAGGCTCAGCCACAGGGGTGAGGGCACGGGCCTCACGGTCATCACACACACTTAAACATGTCCGCACCCACAGTCACACTTGACACACTCACAGTCTCTCCTCTCCCACATCATCGGTCTCACACTTGCACACTCACATTCACACACACACACCCCTGCTCTCCCACATCACCGGTCTCACACTTGCACACTCATTCTCTCTCACACACACACCTGCTCTCCTACATCAGTCTCACACTCGCACACACATTCACACACACACCTGCTCTCCCACATCAGTCTCACTTGCACACTCACATTCTCACACACACACCTACTCTCCCACATGTCTCACACTTGCACTCACATTCTCACACACACACAACCTGCTCTCCCACATCATCAAACACTTGCACTCACATTCACACACACTTGCTCTCCATATCTCACACACACTTGCACTCACATTCTCACACACACCTGCTCTCCCACATCAGTCTTACACTTGCACTCACATACACATACACAACCTGCTCTTCCACATCAAACACTTGCACTCACATTCACACACACCTGTTCTCCATATCTCACACTTGCACACACATTCTCACACACACCTGCTCTCCCACATCAGTCTCTTGCACACTCATTCTCACACACACACCTGCTCTCCCACATCAGTCTCACACTTGCACACTCACATTCTCACACACACACCTGCTCTCCCACATCAGTCTCACACTTGCACACTCACATTCTCACACACACCCCTGCTCTCCCACATCAGTCTCGCACTTGCACTCACATTCTCACACACACTTGCTCTCCCACATGTCTCACACTTGCACACTCACATTCTCACACACACCCCTGCTCTCCCACATCAGTCTCGCACTTGCACTCACGTTCTCACACACCCCTGCTCTCCCACATCAAACACTTGCACTCACATTCTCACACACACCTCTCCCACATCATGTCTCACACTTGCACACTCACATTCTCACACCTGCTCACCCACATCAGTCTCACAACTTGCACTCACATTCTCACACACACACCTGCTCACCCACATCACTCACACTTGCACTCATTCACACACACAACCTGCTCTCCATCAGTCTCACACTTGCACACTCACATTCTCACACACCTCACCCACATCAGTCTCACAACTTGCACTCACATTCTCACACACACACCTGCTCTCCCACATCGTCTCACACTTGCACACTCATTCTCACACACACACACCTGCTCTCCCACATCAGTCTCACACTTGCACACTCACATTCTCACACACACACACCTGCTCTCCCACTCACACTCTTTCCAGCCTGTGGGGCAAGCACAGTCAAGCAGGATGAGAACCTTGGTCCACATCATGGAGGCCGGTGACCTCAAACATCTCACGGCCACGCCTCTTCAGCTGCAGCCAGACGGGCGAGATCTGTGTGAACTTGCTCGCGAAGACCTTGGTGACATCATAGCCATGGCTGTTCCACTGACAAAGGGCAGAGACATCAGACGGAGGACAGGTGAGTGAGCCCCTGCCTCACCATGGTGCTGTCTCTGGTGGCTCTGCATGTGCCCAGGGCCGGCCAGTGTAGACAGCTCTCAGCGCTGACTAACGTCAGCTCCTGGTCTGGGGTATCCTTCCCCAACTCTGGACTACCACTCACACCCAGGCCACAACATCCCTTTCACCAAGAGTGACTGGTGCTCGTCTCAAGCCTCGCCCTGAGCTAGTGCACACCACGGCTGCAAGCCGGCAGCTGGGAACGGCAAGAGGAGGGGAGGCTGGGTGTGAGAACCTCCCCGTCCCTGGTTGAGGAAGCACACCCACTTCCTGACCACAGACAACCTGAGAGCCCACCTCTAGATTCAGGGGAACCCACAGAGGTCCCCGCAGCAAGCCCTGGAGAGAAGCCCAACGCCTCACACTCCGACATCTCCAGGAAGCCGTCTCTCCCTGTCGCCTCACAGCAGCGGCAGCCCGGGGAGAGCAGAAGACAGACCGCCATCACTGACTGGCCAGAGGAGATCATCGAGGGGCCAGGGCAGCCGTCTGAGCCTCAGGACCTCCCTCTGCCCTGTGAGGACCCCGACTTACGGGAGTGACATAACCCAGTACATCTCCAGCAAAGTGTCTGTCCCGGGCCTTGGCCGAGCAGTAGCTGCGATGTTCAAGAACCACGTCCTCGGCTTTGAGGTCCGTCACCACCAAACCCCGGTCTTGGACTGGCTTATCTGAAAACTGACTCTGAAATAAAAGGAACGAGAGAAAGCCGTCAGTCCTCTGTCCTCAGTGTAGACACGGAACTGCACCCAGCAAGTCCTTTCCATTCAGCCAGCAACCGAGTCTCTGGATCAACACAGTGCTGCTGACCTGGAGGCCTTGCCTGGAGAGGATCGAGGCCACAGCAGGCGATTCTGTTCAGAAGGGCTCTGGCTGTCAGCACACGCCGACTGACTGTACAGGCCTTTCCCACCCTTGCTCCGGGCTGGAAGGCAGGCAGGCAGGCAGATGGCTATGGTGGCTCCCTCCTCGCATGTGAGGGTGGACAGGTCCAGCTCTGGCCACCTTACACCCATCCAGGGCCACACCCTTTGCTGGACAAGAATGTGCCAGGTGGGCCGGGCGCAGCGGTTCACATCAGTTATCCCAGCACTTTGGGAGGCCAAGGGGAGGTGGATCACCTGAGGTCAAGAGTTCAAGAGCAGCCTGGTTAACATGGTGAAAGCCCGTGTTTACTGAATATACAAAAATTAGCGAGGCGTGGTGGTGGATGCCTGTAGTCCCAGCTACTTGGAAGGCTGAGGCAGGAGAACTGCTTGAACTGAGAGGCACAGGTTGCAGTGAGCTGAGATCATGCCATTGCGATCTAGCCTAAGCAACAGAGCGGGATTCTGTCTCAACCAAAAAAAAAAGAACATGATATGCCAGGCACACGCCACCCTGCTGGCCAACCACTGCCTGGCACCGCCCCTGCCAATGTGACCTCTTCCTGCCATGTCACACCTCCCCTGACCCCACCTCTGCTCCGGGAAACCCTCCATGCGGCTATCGACCTGCCTCTTCTGTCCACACTCCGTGGCCTGGCTCAACCTCCCCTTGACCTTGCCTCAGGGGCCCCCGTGAGAGAGATGCCCATTACATGGTGTATTTGCTACCAGGCAGCACAGAGAGAGCATCTGCCAGTCCAGAACTAAGTCACAGGAACAGTCCTGTGGCAGGGTCCAGCCAGCGGCATGGGGACAGCTGGGGCTGAGGGCTGGTTCTATGAGTTTACACCCCTGCAGGTGCAAGCTCCAGGGCCATCCCAGGGGAACAGCCCAAAGTGCATGAGACAAACGCAGCTCAAGGCCGTGATGGAGACAGCAACATGATGCAGGTGCTTTAAGCAAGGGGCGAGGATGGAAACAACAGAAAACAAGCCCCAGCTGGGCGTGTGGCTCAGGCCTGTACTCCCAGCGCTCTGGGAGGCCAAGGCGGGTGGATCACCAGGTCAGGAGTTTGAGACCAGCCTGGCCAACATGGCGAAACCCCGTCTCTACCAAAAATAAAAAATTAGCCGGTGTGGTGGTGGATGCTGTAATCCCAGCTACTCAGGAGGCTGAGGCAGGATAGTTGCTTGGACGCGGGAGGTGGAGGTTGCAGTGAGCCAAGGTTGTGCCACTGCACTCCAGCCTGGACAACAGAGCGATACTCCGTCTCAACAGCAACAAAAAAGGGCCAGGTACTGTCACTCACGCCTGTAATCCCAGCACTTTGGGAGGCCAAGGTGGGCGCATCACGAGGTCAAGAGATTGAGACCATCCTGGCCAACATAGTGAAACCGCGTCTATACTAAAGAATACAAAAATTAGCTGGGTGTGATGGTGCCCACCTGTAGTCGCAGCTACTTGGGAGACTGAGGGAGAAGAACCCCTTGAAGCTGGGAGGCAGAGGTTGCAGTGAGCCGAGACCACGCCAGTCTGGTGACAGAGTAAGACGCCGTCTCAAAAAGAAACAAAAAACAAAAACCAAACAAAAAACAACAAAATAAGCCCCAAGTGGGGTCAGTGGGGATGTACCCTGCTTACCCTCAAAACCTGGCTCCAGAGACTGCTCACTGAGAGGTGCTGACTGGCCAGAGCCCCGGAACCACACAGGCCGCCCGCCAGCTGCAAGCTCATCAGGTGCCTCTGTGAGGAGCTAAGCCCCTCGAGCCTCCTGGCTCCAGGCCCCAGTGGACAGAAAGATGATGATGATGGATCAGCCCTCAGCCAGTGCAGTCACCTCAATTCCCCAGGCCACCCCTACCTTCTCCAGCAGTGTCTTCGAGGCAGCTTTTTTGGCATCTGACTTTGACAGCGTAGGGTGAACAGGGCCGCAGGCCAGAGCAAGCCAGAGGAGTCTGAAGAGTGTCTGCATGGTAGGTGTGTCACAGTAGGGTCCAGCCTCGGGGTCCAGAGGGCTGCAGGGAGAGCAGAGCACATTCAACAAGCAGCAGAGAAATGCTGCATGGGCAACCCCTCTGTGGATGGGGCCACCTTCTCCTAATAGGGCCTGGGTCCTCATGGCACTGGGTGAGGCCTTGGCCACTGGGACAGAGCCCTGCCCTGGACCAGCCCTGGCAGCCAGATTCCATTCTCCAGTATTCCTGGGCCTCCTGACTGGGCCGCCAGTTCCTCCCAGACACTCAGAAAGGAGCTTCCGCACTACCAGCCATAGAACCCTCCCCTCGCAGTCCAAGGCCACCCTGACCACCACTGGCCATCCAGGAAAACACTGGTTCCCACCTCCTCCTTCAAATCCAAAGAAAGCCCAACCATGGCAAGCTTTACGTGGAAAATAACGAAGCCACAGGCCCGGCATGGCAGCTCACGCCTATAATCCCAGCACTTTGAGAGACTGAGGTGGGAAGATTACTTGAGCCCAGGAGTTCAAGAACAGCCTGGAAAACATAGTGAGATCCTACAAAAAAATAAAAATTGGCCAGGCGTGGTGGCTCATGCCTGTAATCCCAGCACTTTGAGAGGCCAAGGCAGGTGGATCACAAGGTCAGGAGCTCGAGACCAGCCTGGCCAAGATGGTGAAACTCCATCTCTACTAAAAACACAAAAATTGGCTGGGCACGGTGGCTCATGCCTGTAATCTCAGCACCTTGGGAGGCTGCAGCAGGCGGATCACCAGATCAGGAGATCGAGACTATCCTGGCCAACATCATGAAACCCCGACTCTACTAAAAATGCAAAAAAATTAGCTGGGCGTGGTGGCGTATGCCCGTAGTCCCAGCTACTCAGGAGGCTGAGGCAGGAGAACTGCTTGAACCCAGGAGGCGGAGATTGCAATAAGCAGAGATCGTGTCACTGCACTACAGCCTGGGCAACAGTGTGAGACTCCATCACACACACACACAAAATTTGCTGGGTGTGGTGGCGGGAGCCTGTAATCCCAGCTACTTGGGAGACTGAGGCAGCAGAATCGCTTGAACCCAGGAAGCGGAGGTTGCGGTGAGCTGAGATTGCTCCATTGCACTCCAGCCTGAGCGACAGAGCAAGACTCTGTCTCATAAAAAATAAAAAATAAAAATTTGGGCCAGGGGCAGTGGTTCACGCCTGTAATCCAAGAACTCTGGGAGGCCGAGGTAGGCAGCTCATCTGAGGTCAGGAGTTTGAGGCCAGCCTGACTAAGATGGTGAAACCCCGTTTCTACTAAAAACATAAAAATTAGCCAGGCATGATGGCTAATGCCTGTAATTCCAGCTACTTGGGAGGCTGAGGCAGGAGAATCGCTTGAACCTGGGAGGTGGAGGTTGCAGTGAGTTGAGATCTCATCATCACGCTCCAGTGTGAGCAACAAGAGCAAAACTCTTTTCAAAAAAAAAAAAAAAAAGGCCAGGCATGGTGGTTCACACCTGTAATCCCAGCACTTTGGGAGGCCGAGGTGGGCAGATCACGAGGTCACGAGATTGAGACCAGCCTGCCAACACAGTGAAACACCGGCTCTACTAAAAATACAAAAATTAGCTGGGCATGGCGCTGCATGCCTGTAGTCCCAGCCACTTGGGAGGCTGAGGCAGGAGAGTTGCTTGAATGGGGGTGAAGGGGGAGGGGTGTGAGATCATGCCACTGCACTCCAGCCTGGTGACAGAGCAAGACTCCGTCTCTCAAAACAAAACAAAACAAAACGAAACAAAATTGTAGGCTCTGAGAAGCCTACGATAATACTAACGACAATGATGACCACGCCGCGGAAAGCACTAGAACATACGGATACTTATTGACACGATCTCAGGTTGGAGGAGGCTTTTCCAGGTATATGAGCAATGGGAGAGATCATGAAAGAAAATATGACTAGAACTACATAAAAATGTAAAAATTTCATTCAGAAAATAAAAAAAATATGAGGGAAATAATAAATCAGAAAAAGTATTTGGAAAATACTTGACAACGGACTTCTAACCATAATCTATTCATAATATGCAAATAAATCTTACAAATCAAGAAAAGGCACTCTGATAAAGAAATGTCCCATGGCCAGGCACAGTGGCTTTCACCTGTAATCCCAGGACTCTGGGAGGCCGAGGTGGGCAGATCACCTGAGGTCAGGCACTCGAGACCAGCCTCGTCAACGTGGTGCAACCTCATCTTTATTAAAAATACAAAATTAGCCGGGCGTGGTAGTGGGCACCTGTAATCCCAGCTACTTGGGAGGCTGAGGCAGGAGAATCGGTTGAACTCGAAAGGCAGAGATTGCAGTGAGCCGAGATCATGTCATTGCACTCCAGCCTGGGCAACAAGAGTGAAAATTCATCCCCCCTCCCAAGAAAAGGCCCATTACAAAAATAACACATGAGAAGAATACAAAAGAGACATTCAGAGCCCCAGAAATGAGCAGCTTGGCTTGATTCGCGATCAAAGAGCCAAACACTGAAATAAGTCGGCATCGCCACCTGTGTATGAAGGAGTGAAGACAACGGTATCACAGGGCTTGGACACCAGCGACTCTACCGGGCTGTTAGTGGAAATTAAAGTTGAGAAAGCCATTTCTGATGACAGTCTGCTCATGAATATACTTTGCAACATGCATTTTCTTTTTCACTTGTTGTTATTTTGTTTTGCTTTTTTCTTTTTCCAACATACATTTCCTTTCTTTCACAAATTCCACTGTGGGGTTTTTTTTTTTTTTTTTTTTTTTTTTTTTTGAGATAGAGTTTCGCTCTGTCTCCCAGGCTGGAGTGCACTGGTGCCATCTCGGCTCACTGCAACCTCCACCCCCAGGGTTCAAGCAATTCTCCTACCTCAGCCTCCCAAGTAGCTGGGATTACAGGCACAAGCGACCACGCCCAGCTAGTTTTTCTTCTTTTAGTAGAGGTGGAGTTCTGCCATGTTGGGCAGGCTGATCTCAAGCTCCTGGACTCCAGTGATCCGCCTGCCTCCCACAATATTGTGATTACAAGCATGAGCCACTGCGCCCAGACACGGGGATTTTCCACATACACAGAAAACCTGAGGATGCTCATGGACCTGGCACACCCAGATGCTGGAACACAGACAGACGCTGCCATGCTCTTGATGTGCCAGTTGACACAGACACTATAAAGCAGCACTTACACAGCCAGTCCCACAGAAAAAGCATGATGGGAGGTACACTAAAAAGCAGATGAAGCCGGGCATAGTGGCTCATGCCTGTAATCCGAGCATTTTGGGAGGCCAAGGTGAGAGGATCACCTGAGGTCAGAAGTTCAAGACCAGCCTGACCAACATGGTGAAACCCCATCTCTACTAAAAATACAAAAATTAGCTGGGCATGGTGGCACCCGCCTGTAATCCCAGCTACTCAGGAGGCCGAGGCAGGAGAATTGCTTGAACCTAGCAGGTAGACGTTGTGTTGAGCCAAGATTGTGTCACTGCACTCCAGCCTGGGTGACAGAGCGAGACTCTGTCTCAAAAAAAAAAAGCAAATCATGTGCCCTTAATGTGGAAGCTTTAGAAACAAAACAAAAAAGTAAACAAACAGGCTGTCTAGAATTACTGGTCATTGTGTTTCTTCTCTTTTGCTTTATCTGTATCTTCTGGTCTTCCCGCACTAAACTTTTATTATCCTGTTCATTTTTAGGTTCTAGGGACCACCCAGAAAAGTGATTCTGCTTTCTCTCACTGGGGTTGCGGGGGCGTCGGGGGGAGATGAACAACCACCATAGTGGACCCGGGCTATAAGCTTCAGGACACTGCTGGGAAGAAGCTCTTGGCTAGTTTCACAGTTCTGGCACCAAGCACCGCTCTAAATCAGCTGAGGGGGCCACATAGCCTTGGCAGAGGCAGAGACCTGGCAGGTGGGCAGCTGGAGCCAGCCTAGCCCACTACCCAGCAGGTGGGCACACGGCCTTCCCCTGGGTCACAGGCTCCTGATATAGGAGCTCTGGCCCAAGAAGCTCCGGGAACCCCAGCCAGGCAGGTGCTCCTGTCAGAAGGTGCTGCCAGAGCCAGGCCCACCACAGTGCCTACCCTCCTACCCAAAGGCCAGGAACCTGATTCACTTCCTCTGAAACCGTCCCTTGACCTGCTTCCTTCTGCAGAGGCGCATGCTGCCCCACGTTGCCCTGTCTCTTCCCTGGGTGAGACTGGGGCTCCTGGTGCAGACTGAGGGGAGTGTGGCTGCCCCCCGGCAGGGAACTTCCGTGCTTTGGTACCCAATACACCCACCTGCATGGAGAGAACATCGTCGTGGAGCAAGGTCAACCAGTGAAGCTCCCCCAACTAGGAGGCAGGGAGTCACAAGACAACCTAGGCTGCAGGCTTATGAGGAGTTAGGAAGGGAACTCACAGGGCAAGCACAGCAGCACCCAGTACATGGAGCCACAGGCAAAGGCAGTGAGTGTCTGAACAGCCAGCCACAGCAGTTCTGAGAGGGTTTGTGTGTGTGTGTGTGTGGGGGGGGGTGATAAGAAGACCCAGGAACAGGTCACCACCCTGCGCCTGCAGCCCCCTCTCCTCAGCCCCTCTCTCCAGCCCCTCTCCTTAGTGACACATTCCAGAATCAGAACCAAGGGCAGCACCCTGCTGCCACCTCCTCCTAGCCCTACTACCTTCCTGCTGCAGATGAGAGGCTTGGTCTGAGTCAGCAATGGCCCCAGGGAAGGTGGGGAGGGAGGGTTCTGGCCATGGCACAGGGAAGACGACCCAGAATCACTTGCCTGGCCAGGCTGAAACAGTGGCTGCCTCAGCTCCAGGCACCCTGTCTCTGACCCCAGCCCATTCCATGACCACCAGCTCCTTCTCTCTCTTCTGAGTAGAAATCTGGGTCAGGGAGGAAGGAAAGGAATGAAAAACCAAACAAGAGGTGGTTCTCCAGGGGAGTGGTCCAGGAGTAACTTGAGGGCACACCCAGGTGTCCAATGACCAACCACTATGGGGTTGGGTCTCTGCCCCTACCTGCGGTCCTGCAGCTTGGAAACAGGACCACTGTCCACCCACCTAGAGGCCCTTCTGCCTATGACCACCATGCCCCGGGACCTGTGATTTCACACTTCAGGGAAGGAAGAGGAAAGGGTGGGAGGATGGAGTTGATGTAGCCACGTGGAAAAGAAAGACAGTCCTGCCAGCTTGTGTCCAGCAGAGGGGGCACTAGAGGGAGAAGCTGACTGAGGACAAGGCCAGCGCAGGTCCCGCCTCCGTCCCCCGCGCCCAGCTCATCAGCTCTGCCGTGAAGTGCTTGGACACAGGATGCCTACAAGTGCTGGGCTGCCTCTCTGACTTGCCATGGAACTTTACAGGGCACTGCCCCAGGACACGCTGTGCGTGATGCGTGCGGGGTGCTCACACCGCAACCAGGCCCTTGTCTGGGCTTCGGCACCTCCCCGGCGCCCCAGTGCCCAGGGGCCGCTCGCGCTGAGGCCCGCGAGGACACTCTCTGTCGTGCTCCCCACGTCACACACACTCCCAGACTCACACGGACTGCGTTCCTGCATCAAAACGTGTTTCTTCCCCAAACGCCGAAGACCTTCCTCGGGCAGCACGGCCCCGCACAGAGGGAACGCGGAGTGTCACGGAGAGGCGCAGGCCCTGGCCCTGTCACCCGCAGGGGTCTTGGAACCCACTCTCCGGCAGGCTGCGGTGGAGGCCACTGCTCCCACCCCTTCTCCCGGGGTCCCAGGCTGTAGCGCCGGGACTGCCTTGGTGCTGGCGGAAAGGATGGGAGTCGCAGCAGGGGCTCTGCACCGTCTTCCGTGGGGACCAGCAGCAGGAAATGCGCGGCACACGTGTGTGTCACGCGTGCACGTGTGTGCCGTGTGGAGCGACGGCAGCCAGCGGAGCCGACCCTGGAGGAGCCGGTGCGCGTGGCTCCGGCCTGGAACCCCGGCACTGCGGGGGCCGGGGGCTCCGGACCGGTTTTGGCGACAGAGACCCGGCCTCTGCAGAAACTTCCCCGGCGGGTGTGCCCGGGCACCCCGTCCCCCCACGTGGCCAGGAGGCGGAGGCACGACCTGCGCCCAGGAAGCCGAGGCGGGCGGGTCCCCTCCAGCCCGGACAGCCGACAGCCCTGGAACCTTCACGGCTGGGCCGAGCCAAGGGCGGGACGCCATGCGTCCACCCTCACGCCCGCCGCCGGGGGACAGCCCGCCCGGAGCCTCCGCTCCCCGGGGGGTCCTGGGGACCCGGCGCCGCCGCCGTGCCCACGAGCCGCGCTCACGCCCGCCGGCCACATCCCCGGTCCGCACGCTCCGGGCCCCGGCACCCGGCGCGCCGCTCTCAGGCCCGCCCGCCCCGCGCACGCGCCCCGCCTCCCACGCGCGGTGCCCCGACGCGCTCCCGCCGCCCCCGCCCCCCTCGCACCGGCGCACACGCCCCTCACACACCCGCTCCCCCTCACGCGCCCGCCCGGCGTCGCCCGCGACCCACGCCCGTCCCGGCCGGGGCGGAGCCTCGCTGCCCGGCGCGCCCACTTCGCGGAAGGGACACTGAGGCCGTGCAAGGAGGAGGAGCAGGGGCGGCCGCCGCGGGGCTCACCTGCATGTCAGGGAGGCCGGGCGGCCACACACGCTCGGCCGGAAGACGCTCCGGCGCGCCGGAAGTCCCGCCCCAGAGGCCCGCGCGCTGCCGCCGCGCACGGCACGCTGGGACGGGGCGGGGCGGGGCCGGCACAGGGGGCGGGGCGGAACGGGGCCTGATGGCCGGAGAGGCGGGGAAGGGGCGGGGCCTGGCGGCCGGAGAGGCGCGGAAGGGGCGGGGCCTTGGGAACGGCGTCCCCGGAGCTGGAGCGTTCAGCTTGCGCGGCCCTCGTGCTCGCGCTGCAGCGGCCTCCCAGGCTCCCGCCCAGGGGGCGCCGGGTCCCCAGGGCTACGGCTCCTAGGCAGGCCTCGCGCCCTCGGCGTGAGGTCGTGCGGGGCCTCGGGCTACGGGGCCTCTGCCGGGCGGGGCGGGCCGGGGTACCGCGCGGTGGGCTGCGCCCGGGCGCGCTCCTCCGAGACCCGGCGCCCCCCGCAGCACCGCCGCCTGGGTGGGCCATCTCCATGCCCAGGCCGAGGGCGCCCACGACGCCGTCTCCGCGGGACTGCCCGAAACCCACGCTGTTGGGTCGGCACCCGCGCCTCGCACAGCTCCACGGCCGGAGCCCACGGGGGCACACGGAGTTCCCGCCGCAGCCTCTCGCGCTGGCATGGACGCGCGCGTGGCTGCACTTTCCCGCCCAGCGCGTGGTACCCGGCACTGGCTGTCCGACCCCGCCCAGCCCCAGCCGTTCCCAGCGCAGTTTCCTGCAGAAAACCGCACATCGGGTCCCGCCCTGCCCCGCTCGGCGGGTCCCGGGCGCGCGTGGGCTCCGCGACACGCTGCACAGCTGCTTCCCCGTTTCTGCTGCCTGGGAGGTTTCTCCTTAAACGAAGCTTTGTTCTTTCTTTCTAGTCACGTTTCCTTCTTTCCCTTCCCGGCATTTCCTGCCAGCTGACGCCCACGCCTTTCCAGAATGGGTTGGGGGCTGGACGCGGTGCCCAGGCACGTCCCCCACCAGCCGCGGCTTTCACCCAGCTCAGCACTCGCACTCAGCAAACGGCCTGGATGGTGGCCTGAAGCCTTGCCTTTGCGGGTGAAGACAGCAAGTCCGCGGAGCTCGGGAGAGGGTCCCAGTCAGCCGTGCCAGGTATCCTCAGGGATACGCAGTCCTGGCAGTGCTAAAAAGGGCATGGCAGCAGCCAACTTCTCTTAGGAAAGGCACGTAGCCATTTTAGGATCTCATTGAGGTCAGAGGTCTTTGGCACTAAAGAATTGCAGAATCAGCCGGGACGGTGGCTCCCGCCTATAATCCCAAGCACTTCGGGAGGCCGAGGCCGACGGATCACTTGAGGTCAAGAGTTCAAGACCAGCCTGGCTAACATGGTGAAACCCTGTCTCTACTAAAAGTTCAAAAAAATTAGCTGGATGTGGTGGCAGGCGCCTGTAATCCCAGCTACTCCAGAGGCTGAGACACGAGAGTTGCTTGAACCTGGGAGGCAGAGGTTACTCTGTACTCCAGCCTGGGCAGCAGAGCAAGACTCAGTCTCAAATAAAAAAAAAAAAAAAATGAATTACAGAAAACTACTCAGGGTGCACTCTGGGCCAGAACTACAGACCCCAAGACCAGATGGTACGCAGAGATGGGAGGATGGGAAGCCCAGAACCAGGGCTACCACTGGGCAGGGTTCCTGGGGAAGTCTTGTCAGTTGCCAGCACAAAGCCATCAGCATGTTTTTGGAACATCTAAGATAACTGTGGTTCACCACATTTAAAATTTGAATCCGTTAGGTTGTATGAGTTCTTAGCTAGGTTCAGTGGCTCACGCCTGTAATCTCAACTCTTTGGGAGGCCCAGGCAGGAGAATCACTGCCCCAGCCCACCAAAAAAAAAGTGTTACAATGAAACAGGGTTTCACTCTGTCACCCAGGCTGGCGTGCAGTGGATCATGGTTCACTGCAGCCTCGACCTCCTGGGCTTAAGCGATCCTCTTACCTTGGCCTCCCCAAATGCTGGGTTATAGACGTGAGCCACCTCACCACACCAATGCGTTTACTGAGTTACTGAAGCAACTGAGATTCTGTTGTCAATTCAGACAACATAAAGTATGCAAAAAGGAATGAGAAGAGACTTAATTTATAAATTGTAATGTTGAAAATCGCTTAATTGGCCAGGTGCAGTGGCTCATGCCTGTAAGCCCAACGCTTTGGGTGGTCGAGGGGAGTGGATCACAAGGTCGGCAGTTCAAAACCTGCCTGGCCAAGATGGTGCGACTAAAAATACAAAAATTAGCCAGACATGGTGGCAGGCGCCTGTAGTCCCAGCTACTTGGGAGGCTGAGGCAGGAGAACTGCTTGAACCCGGAAGTGGAGGTTGCAGTGAGCTGAGATTGTGCCACTGCACTCCAGCCTGGGCAACAAGAGCAAGACTCCATTTCAGAAAAAAAAAAAAAAAAGAAAATTGCTTAATTGAGTTTGTAGATGGGACCAAATATTATACAGAGGCCTCTTTAAAGTGACTCTAGGCAGGTGCCGTGGCTCATGCCTGCAATCCCGGCACTTTGGAAGGCCAGGGCAGGTGGATCACTTGAGCTCAGGAGTTTGAGACCAGTCTGGGCAACATGGTGAAATCCCATCACTACTAAAAATATAAAAAAATTAGTCGGGCGTGGTGGCGTGTGCTTGTAATCCCAGCTGCTCTGGAGGCTGAGGCAGGAGAATCACTTGAACCTGGGAGGTGGAGGTCGCGGTGAGCTGAGATCATCCTACTGCAATTCCGGCGGGGCGATGGAGCGGGACTCCATCTCAAAAAAAAAAAAAAAAAAGACTTGTAAAATCTTCTAGGCTTACAGAGCGAATAATTGATGTTTGTAAAATTGAACTTAACAGGTTAATAAATTGGGTTTTGAATTTATAACTTCAATTTATTGAAATTAAATTTCAATAAATCAAATCCTAATTGTTGAAATTTAATGTAAATCCAAGCATAGCCACCTTGCCCAGGCACTAAGCCAGCCCTCAGCCCCATTCCCAGCCCTCCCTGTGAGGGGTAGGTGTGGGGTGCCCTGGCGAAGGTCCAGGCTCTGCCCTGCAGGCCCAGGTCTGACCTGCCCTGAGGCCGTCCTGCCTGCCCCTGGCCTGTCTTTATTGGGCATGGGGGGACAGAGGAGGGCAGAGGCAGCCCCGTGGGGCGAGGGGGCCTGTGGAGATGAGCCTTTCTGCTGCTGAGTGGATTCCTGGCCCCTCCTCTGGGACACCCCATCCCTTACCTGGGATGTTCCCGAGTCCCCAGCCTGAGGATGCCTCTCAGAGACATACTCAGAAGCACTCCCAGGCTGGGTGCGGTGGCTCATGCCTGTAATCCCAGCACTTTGGGAGGCTGCGGTGGGAGGATCACTTGAGCCCAGGAGGCCAAGGCGGCAGTGAGCCGTGATTGCACCACCACACTCCAGCCTGGGTGACAGATAGGACCCTGCCTCAGAAAAAAAAAAATTACTCCCACCCGGTTGTTGGAGGTACCTGGTGGCTGTGGGGTCTTTGGGGCTAGGCTGTGTCATCCCCAGGCTGGCCAGTGCTCCCGGGTGGGGTGCAGGCGGCTCCCGGACGCTCCTCATGTGCAGAGTCAGCATGGGCAGGGCCTTTCCTGACAGTGGCAGCCCCGTAACTGTGTCCTGTTCTGACTGGGAGACCTTGGCCTGGGTCACCCAGAGGGCAGGACCTGGGCCACTGTTGCTGACCATGTCCTGTCACTCCTAGGCCTTGAAACATTCCAATGTAGAGGCCGGAAGCCCAGGAAGAGAAGAACAGAGGGACACACACCAGCAGTCCCTGCTGCTGAACCCTCCCCACCTGTGGACGGGGACATCCTCTCTCGGTGCTGCCATAAGCAAATCCAGGGCAAGCGGGAGGGGAAGTAGCACACTCACGCTCGGCGGAAGCTTCTGGAGCCAGTGCCAGAGCCAGCACAGCAGATATCCGTCTGTGTCCCATGTGTGGGCCCCCGTGGCCCAGCTGGCCCTGACCAGTGACAGTTGCGTTTAGGTGTCTGGTTGGCTGCCAGGCTGATGTGGAGCCCCGAAGCTGGCACCTGTGGTGGCACGTGGCCCTAGCTTTGTGGATTTGCCCTTTGCAAAGGGCTGTGTGCATCACGGTATCATCGTGGGTTTCACGCTTCTCACTATCCCACAGCCAACTTAAGGTACCGAAAGCTGGCCAGATGTGGCGGCTCACATTTTGGGAGGCTGAGATGGGCAGATTCCTAGAGCCTCAGGAGTTTGAGACCAGCCTGGACAACATGGTGAAAGCTCGTCTCTACAAAAAATTTTAAAATTAGCTGGTCATGGTGACGTGCATCTACAGTCCTGGCTACTCGGAAGGCTGTGTGGGAGGGTCATCTGAGCACAGGGAGGTCAAGGCTACAGAGAACTGTGATTACCCCACTGCACTCCTGCCTGGGTGACAGAGACAGACCCTGTCTCAAAAGAAAAAAAAATCCAGAAGCAAAGGAGAGGGGCCGGCTGCCTGGCCTTGATGAGATCAAGAGGCAGCATTTCTCATTGGTGGTAGTGGCCTGTAATCCCAGCTACTCAGAAGCCTGAGCCAGAGAATCACTTGAAACCAGGAGGTGGAGGCTGCAGTGAGTCAAGATTGCACCGCTGCACTCCAGCCTGGGCGACAGAGCGAGACTCTCTCTCTCAAAAAAAAGTAGTAATAATAGGGTCTCCGCAGAGGCATCCAGGGTGAGGGTCTTGGAATGAAATCATTCTGGGTAATAGGGTGGACCCTAAATCCAATGACAGGGGTCCTTGTAAGAAGAGAAGGGAGGGGGCATAGCGGCTCACTCCCGTAATCCCAGCCCTTTGGCAGGCCGAGGCGGGTGGATCACTTGACGTCAGGAGTCCAGACCAGCCTAGCCAACACGGTGAAAACCCTACTAAACATACAAACATTAGCTGGCATGATGGCAAGCACCTGTAATCCCAGCTGCTTGGGAGGCTGAGGCAGGAGAACCGTTTGAGCCTGGGAGGCGGAGGTTGCAGTGAGCCGAGATCACACCACTGCACTCCAGCCTGGGCGACAGAGACTCCATCTCAAAAAAAAA